TGCCCTTGGAAGGAGAAAGACTCAGCAATAAAGAACAGAGAAGTAACAGAAGCACTTGAGGAGGTAGAGGAGAGAAGGAGCCTTTGCAGAAGCTGCAGAAGCCTGCAGGAGCCAGGGACGCTGGGCCTGCCTCTGTGCTTCCCTGCTCCAGCCTAAGGGCTGCTGCCCCTTGTGTTTCTTCACATTTCTCTTTAAACAGAGTCCTAAGCATTCTCTTGAGATCATTCACATGAATAAGAGCACAGTATCACCGGCCATAAATAGAAAAGATTGCACAATTGAAGTGCAAAAGAAAACAACATTCTGAGATCAGACAGAATTGCCACTGAGAAAGCTCTGCTCTTCCTTTGTTTCCTTATTAAAAAGAAAAGTTGAAGTTACGCACAGTGCACGTTTGTAGTCCCAGTGATCTGAAAGGCAGAGGCAGGGGGATCACATAAGCCCAGGAGCTGATGACTAGCTTGAGTAACATAGTGGGGCGCTATCACAGAAAGAAAAAGTTGGGGAAAGGATCACAAGTATCATAGAGATGCAGAAATATTAAAGGCTTACACTTCTTCGGTAGAGATTTTCTCCAAGTTTTCAGAAGGGGAGAAGACCCATAAAGGGACAATGTAATTTAAATTTTTTAATTAATTAACTAATTATTCAGTATAGGGTCTCACTAAGCAGCTCAGACTCATAGTGATCCTCCTATCTCAGCCTCTCCAGCTCTGAGATTACAGGTGTGCACCACCATGCTCGGTTTCAGTGGCCAGCAAGGCACGCCAGGATTCCTGGACTGGCAAGGCATGTGGTACCTACCAGGGATTGAACCTGGGTCTTTGCACTTGCCAGGTAGGTGCTTAGACTGCCAAGCTATGTCCCCAGCCCTGGGACAATGTAACTTAATGTGATTCCTGTATATCCTTAAAATCTCCCAGAATTCCACAAAGGCTTCTTTCTGTCTGGAAGGATGTCTGATGGGATAGCCTTCACATGCTGGACTTCAGAGCCTGGAATTGATTGAAAGGAAGCAGAAAACCAGTGGAGATTTCAGACCAGGGAAGGTTGTGGCTGGTCATTCTGGCTGCAGGGTAGAGGACAGACGGATTAGATCTTAGCATGGTGAGGAGACTCAGGGGTCATAACAAAGGTTTTAGATTTTTATGTGAGATACAATGGAAATGTGAAACATTCTGATTCTTGGAAGTTTTTGAATGCAGGAAGATGATACAGTGTGATTCGTATTTTTTGTTTGTTTGTTTGTTTGTTTGTTTGAGACCTCCTCAGTCTCCACAGTATGGTTCATGTTCCTCAGGGCACTCTGCTATCTAGAGAACAGATTACAGTGACAGAGAGTAGGAACGGAAAGCCTGGAGGTGGGCCCAGGAGGCAGTGAGATGAGAGATAAAGACAGCATAGACTGGGGCTGGGGAGCAGGCAGACCTCTAAACTAGTCCCCAGATCTTGGCTCTTAACGCATACATAATTTCTCCCCCCTCCCTCAATCAGACGCTAATCTCGGTGCTGCTGTGAAAGGACTTCATAGAGTAATTAAGGCTCCAAACTAGTTGGCTTTGGGATGG